TGGCCAGAAAGAGAGAATTTTTAACATAAGTAGGGGATTCGAACCCGCCACCTTAGGTGTACGTGGCTGGCGCCTTAGCCGGTTGAGCTATAGGCGCCGAGCCAGATTATGCTTTTCATTGCCAATTATTAGGCCACAATAATCTTAAAACCAAAATGAGGGCGGTGCCTGTGGCTCAGTGAGTAGGGCGCTGGACCCAAAAACAGAGAGTGGTGGGTTCGAATCTGGCCCCGGTCAAACTGCAAGCAAAAAATAGCTGAGTGTTGCGGCGGGCACCTATAGTCTTAGGTACTCGGGAGGCTGAGGCAAGAGAATCACCTAAGCCTAAGAGCTGGAGGTTGCTGTGAGCTGTGATGCCACAACACTCTACCAAAGACAACAAAGTAAGACTCTGTCTCTTTAAAAAAAAAAAAAAAATGATTGTTAAGATTGTCTGTTCACTGCCTGGGCGCCTATAGCACAGTGGTTACAGCACCAGCCACATGGCACTGAGGTTGGCACACTCAAACCTGGTACCTGGCCAGCTAAACAACAATGACAACTGCAACAAAAAAATAGCCAAGCATTGTGGGGCACCTGTAAGTCCCAGTTACTTGGGAGGCTGAAGCAAGAGAATCGCTTAAGCCCAAGAGTTTGAGGTTGCTGAGAGCTGTGACTGTATGGCACTCTACCCAGAGTGCATGATGAGACTCTGTCCCAAACAAAAAAAGATGGTTTATGTCCCTTCATTTGTTGGCTTTCTTCTCCAAAATCTGACCAATGGAGCCACATGATTTTCTTTCAGATTGTGGCTCCATTGTAAGGGACTCATACTCAGTCCTGGATACACTCAAAATTGAAGGCTCTTTCTCCATTTCCTAACTTGGATTCATGGTTTTAGGCAAAAAATTAATTTCAGGCTAGAGAAACTACCTAAATTTCTGGAATTTATAGAAGACAGATTGTTTTTATCAGAGCTAACAGACAGGGCGGCGCCTGTGGCTCAGTGAGTAGAGTGCCGGCCCCATATACCCAGGGTGGCAAGTTCTAACCTGACCTTAGCCAAACTGCAACAACAACAACAACAAAAAAAATAGCTGGGCATTGTGGCGGGACCTGTAGTCCCAGCTACTTGGGAGGCTGAGGCAAGAGAATCGCCTAAGCCCAAGAGCTGGAGGTTGCTATTAGCTGTGATGCCACGACACTCTACCAAGGGCAACAAAGTGAGACTCTGTCTCTGGAAAAATAAATACATGAAATAAAACTAACAGACATGTGACATACCCTTCCCCCCACTTTTTTCTAAAAAATGAATGGTGTACCAAAGGAATTAGAAGATTCCCTATGTGAATATTAGAACATGAAATTTGTGTTTAAAAAATCAGAATTAGCTTGGGACCTGTGGCTTAAGTGGCTAATGCACCAGCCACATACACCTGAGCTGGCAGGTTCGAATCCAGCCCGGGCCTGCCAAACAACAATTACAGCTGCTACCAAAAAATAGCTGGGCGTTGTGGCAGGCACCTGTAGTCCCAGCTACTTGGGAGGTGGAGGCAGGAGAATCACTTGAGCCTAGGAGTTGGAGGTTGCTGTGAGCTATGATGTCATAGCACTCTGCCCAAGGGGACAGCTTGAGGCTGTGTCTCAAAAAATAAATAAATAAAAATAAAAAATCAGAATTATTACTGGGCTTTTTATTTAAACTAAAAATTAAAATAAGCAAGAATCTCTCTTAGCCCGGCATAGGCTCACTCCTGCAATCCTAGCACTCTGGGAGGCTGAGGTGGGTGGACTGCCTAGGCTCAGGGGAGACCAGTCTGAGCAAGAGTGAGACCCTGGCTCTTAAAAAAAAAAAGTGGGCATTGCGGCAGGCACCTCTAGTCTCAACTACTCAGGAAGCTGAGATAAGAGGATCACTTGAACCCAAGAGTTTACTGTGAATTATGACACTGCGGCACTCTAACAAAGGCCACAAAGTTACATTCGGTCTCAAAAATAATAATAATAATTAATAAATGAAAATAAGAATCTCTCAAATAAGGATCTTTAGCTGTTTGACATCAGAAGTTAGAAAGTGGAATGTTCTGATTCTGTAAAATTTTCATTACCTTTTAGTTTTTATGTTTATGTGTGTGTATAGATACATATATACATGAGTCTCACTATGTTGTTCTGGGTAGAGTGCTTTGGCATCACAGCTCACAGCAACCTCAAACTCTTGGGTGCAAGCGATTCTATCACCTCAGCCTCCCAAGTACCTGGGACTATAGGCACCTACCAGAACTCCCAGCTGTTTTTTTGTTGCAGTTGTCATTGTTTTGCTGCCAGCCTCGGTGCATGTGGCCAGTGCTGTAAACACTGTGCTACTAGCACTGAGCCTTTTGGGGGTTTTTTGTTTGTTTGTTTTTGGGGGGTTTTTTTGTTTGTTTTTTTGAGACCGTCTCAAGGTGTTGCCCTGGGTAGAGTGTTATGGCATCATAGCTCACAGCAACCTCAAACTCTTGGGCTCAAGTGAACCTCTTGCCTCAGTTTTTCTATTTTTATTTTATTTTATTTATTTTAATTGAGACAGTGTCTCACTTTATCACCCTCAGTAGAGTGCTGTGACGTCATAGCTCACAGCAACCTCAAACTCATGGGCTTAAGTGATTCTCTTGCCTCAGCCTCCCTAGTAGCTGGGACTACAGGCACCCGCCACACTGCCCAGCAATTTTTTCTTTTTGTTTCGAGCCCATCAGCCCCAGACGTGTGGCCTACACCCTAACCACGGAGCTATGTGCACTCTGCCAGTTTTTCCACATTGAGTAGAGATGGGGTCTCACTTTTGCTCAGGCTGGTCTGCAACTTATGAACTCAAGCAATCCACCCACCTTGGCCTCCCAGAGTGCTTAGGATTGTAGGCGTGAGCCACCACACCCAGCCCCTCAGTATAATTTTTTTTTTTTTTTTTTTTTTTTTTTGTAGTTTTTGGCGGGGGCTGGGTTTGAACCCACCCCCTCTGGCATATGGGCCCGGCACCCTGCTCCTTTGAGCCACAGGTGCCACCCCCCCCGTATAATTTTTAAAGATTCAAGAAACAAAGTACGTTTTAACAATAAAAACCATGCTGAATATTATTTTTGATTCAAGGGACACATCAGAATTTTGTAGTATCTTGATGTCTGTGAGAGTCATTATCAGTATTGACCAGTAGTATAAAATTATATATATTTTTAATCTTCCTGGTTATCTGAATTCAAGATCAAGTTTGCCTTGTAGATTTAAGTACTGAAGGTTCCATACTTAACATTGATTAACACAAAAGTCATAATGCATGCTAATGCATCAGACGCAGCTCTCTTTGGGGGGGGGGGGTTCTTTTTTTATTTTTATTTTTTTTGAGACAGAGCCTCAAGCTGTCGCCCTGGGTAGAGTGCTGTGGCATCACAGCTCACAACAACCTCCAACTCCTGCGTCAAGCAGTTATCCTGCCCCCTGCCTCCCAAGTAGCTGGGACTACAGGCACCTGCCACAATGCCCGGCTATTTTTTGGTTGCAGCCATCATTGTTGTTTAGCAGGCCTGGGCTGGATTCAAACCCGCCAGCTCAGGTAAATGTGACTGGCACCTTAGCCACTTGAGCCACAGGCACCGAGCCAGAAGCAGCTCTCTTTTCATAGCTTCTTCACTTTTCCCATGGGAAATTTCTTTCATAACCTTCCTAGCTTCTATATTTATTCTGACAATGGTAGTGATAAATTCAAAATTTTATATACCTCAGTGGGATATATTAGAAAATAAACAGAGTATGTTCAGAGTCCTAGGATTTGAAATTTAAAGTTGTTAAACTTTGGTTACCCTTTGTAATGTATATTTTTCTTTGTATAAGCCATCCAGTGTTGTACTAGAAGAGGACCACAAAGTAGAAGAATCCAATGCCATTAAAAACGACAAGGAAGCTTTTAGTGTAAGTTTGGACATTTTAGTTTTGAGTTTTGCAGGTGTATGTTTCCTGTCTTTTGTCATTGGGTAGCATTTAAATGATAAAGTGGCATATGGGTCACTACAAAAGTTTTGAGACAGACTGTGTTATGGTCAGGTTTCAACTTCTTGGCTTATCAGTGTTGGTGGGAGGGCTTCATTTGTTTCCATCTGCATGGAATTTAGGTTTCTTGATTTTTGTGTATCTCAAAACTTTCGTAATGACCAACATGTAATCATATGTCTTAAAATGATCACATTATTCTTTTTTATAAATAACAGCATAAACTTCAGCCTCTGAATGTTATAGATTGTTTTTAGCAACTATTGCATTGTGACTTGGGAGCACAATAAATGTACTTTGGAGGACTTTGTTACATCCTGACTAACAACCTCTTTGTTTATATTCAAGAATTTGGATAAAGATTTAGAAAAAATGTTTGTCAAATATACAGATGACTGAAGCTGAAAGGGATAGATAGCTAATATTAAAAATGGCAAATTTGAAATTAAAAATGTTGACAGACTCAAATAGTTGGTAAAAAATAGAAGAAACTTAAGAGGGATGGCCTACATTTAGTCTAACAGCCTTTTATTACCTGTGCACAATCCAGTAGTGTCAATACAGAGCAGAGGACAAGGCACAGTGGCTCACACCTATAATCCTAGTACTTTGTAGGATGAGGCAGGAGGATTACTTGAGTCTAGTTTAAGACCAGTCTACGCAACATAGCAAGGCCCCATATCTACAAAAAATTTAAAAATTGACTGAGTGTGGTAGCACATACATCTGCAGTCCTAGCTACTTGGGAGGCTAATGAGGAAGGATTGTCTGAGCCTCGAGTTCAAGATTGCAGTGAGCTGTAATCGTACCATTATACTGCAGCCTGAGTAACAGGAGATCTTGTCTTTTTAAATACACACAATGTAGTGATAATAGTTTTGTAGTGCATGTATATGTTTGTTTGTTTGTTTTTGGAGACAAAATCTCACTCTGTTGTCCAGTGTCAAGTGCCATGACATGATCATAACTCACAGCAACCTCATATTCCTGGGCTCAAGCGATTCTCTTACCTCAGTCTCCCAAGGAGTTGGGACTAGAGGAGTCTGCCATAACACCCAGCTAGTTTTTCTATTTTTAGTAGAAATGGTGTCTCACTCTTCCTCAGCCTGGTCTCAAACTCCTGAGCTCAAGCAATCCACCTGCCTCGGCCTCCAGAGTGCTAGGATTATAGGCCTGACTCACCACACCTGGCCCTTTTTTGTTTTTTGTTTTTGAGACGGAGTCTCACTTTGTAGCCCTCAGTAGAGTGTTGTGGTGTTACAGCTCACAGCAACCTCACAGCTCACAGCAACCTCAAACTCTTGGGTCTGTGGCTCAGGCTGGTCTCAAACTCATCGACCTGCCTCTGCCTCCCAACTGTGGGGATTACAGGTGTGAACCACTGCACCTGGCCTTTTTTTTTTTTATTGAATGGTAACTATGTACATTAATGCACTTCTGGGGTACAGTGTGGGGTTTTCACTTTTTTTTTTTTAAAGACAAAATCTCACTCTGTTCTCCAGGCTAGAGTGCCATGGTGTCAGCCTAGCTCACAGCAGCCTCAATCTTCAGGGTTCCAGTAGTCCTGCCTCAGCTGCCCAAGCAGCTGTGCCTGTAGGCATCTACCACAATGCCTGGATAATTTTTCTGTTTTTAGTAGAGATGGAGTTTCACTCCTGCTCAAGCTAGTTTCAAGCTCCTAAATTCAAGAGATTCTCCCACCTTAGCTTCCCAGAATGCTAGGATTATGGGCGTGAGCCACTGTACCTGGCTGCTTATTATTATTATTTTTTTAAGATAATGTAATCCTGGATTCTATTAATGGAAGACTAGTTTTCATATTTATAGTGTTATACTCCATTGATATGCTACAATTTTAAAGACATGGGACTGCTAGGATGATGAAGAGCCCATAACCATATTGAAAAGAAGTTTTAGGCCGGGCATGGTGGCTCATGTTTGTAATCCTAGCACTCTGGGAGGCCATCGTGGGTGGATTGCTTGCGCTCAGGAGTTTGAGACTAGCCTGAGTCAGAGTGAGACCCTATCTCTAAAAATAGCTGGGTATTGTGGCCAGTTCTGTAGCCCCAGCTACTTGGGAGGCTGAGGCAGGAGTATCGCTTAAGCCCAAGACTTTGAGGTTGCTGTGAGTTATAACACCATGGCACTCAAACCCAGGGTGACTGAGACTGTCTCAAAAAAAAAAAAAAAAAGTTT